ATAAAGAGTTTGTGTATATGATTAAAGTATACATTACGAATATAATTTCTAAAACAAAGTGTCTAAAACATTTTCAAGGGCAGTGACAGCATAAACATAATGTATACATTATTGACATGATTATTAAAGCAGCATGCCTCCAGATATTGGAACACATTTCAATAAATCAAACTTGTGAAAAATGTACTAAGATTTTAAGCAAAATAGAAACATTCAAGATTCAAGTAATAATTTACATGTTATGAGCGATTATTGGTGAATCCTTATGAGTAACTATATTTCTATTGCATTACTTACGTAGTAATGGATTTTTTTGTATATTTTGATCTCTTTTTGTAATAAATTTTGGTTGTAAGTGCCATTGGTAATATGTAAAATGTTTCTCTTTGGTAACTATACATTTATATACATTTAATTTCATTTCCAAACTTTTCATGAAAATAAGCATTAATCTAGAAGCGTGCTTCTTTAAAATCCGTATACTCATTTCGAAACATAAGTCATACTACCTTGTACATTATTTTTTTAATCCTAATTGAAAGTGTAACATATACATTTTCTATAAAAGTAAGCTTTACTTTGTTTAATTTTGATCATGTAATATCTCTAAACTCGAGTATGACTAGTACATGAGCATTGTACTTGTCTATTTACTGTTTTCTATAAAGATAAACAAAAATACCCACTTTGCATCTGATAACAAGATTTCTACTTTCTACAATCTGTTAGACTTCTTTTATATGTAACATGGATTTGTTAGAAAATGATGTAATGATTGTTTAATGCAACAAAAAGAACAAAACAAAAAATCAATAAAGCATTACACATGGTTATTGTATTTTATTGTATAATTTAAAGTGAACAATTGGATGAAAAAGAAAAGTAACGCCCTATTCATGTTTATCAGAACATTACGTCATTATGATTTTCATATCAAGCTTACATCTTTTATATGTAGAGCAAAGATTTATAGTACAGTGTATTCCCATATCATAACAGATCCCTGACAAATGAATCAAATTAATATATTTTATAGGCTTCTTTTTGTAATATTGTATCGCATATTTTATAAAAGCGCTGTAACTACTACCAATACAAGCAAAGTTCAGAAAATCAATCCACAAAACATTGACTAAAAGCAAAATTTCTTTAAAGCAAAGAAATAAATTTATAGGTACATGAATAATCTAACAGAATAATAATACGAAACTATAAAACATATTTTTTCTGAGATCTAAAGGTTTAGTCATAATAAATACAAATATGTTGTATGTTATTACAATTAAATGATGAAACGTTAGATATTTTATAGCAGCGAAATTGCTGTATAATAATTTGTAGTTTTCTTTTCTCTTTCTTTGCAATGAAAAGGTGTTTCTTTTTAATACGTGTTAACGACAAGAACAATAACAACAACACAGGTATCTCACCATCGTAAACGCCGAGATTGATTCGTGTGGTATGCAAATGTTATATAATGTATTAAGACAGTTATTGTGGTTTATGAACAAGACAAAAGTACCATTATTTTGGTTCTCAAGCAGCGTGTCGGAGTAACTCTCTGCCTATCGCCTATATTTATCCCATCATCATTTTAGTCATTTGTAACATCATGACTTACATGTAATATTTCTTGCATACCAAACCACTGTTTCCATGCCGGAAATTTCATCTGGCATGGGGATTATAATTTCATACCCTGTAGTAATAAAATAGTTACGTGTGTAATGACATAAATTTCCACAGAAAATTGTTTTATTAAGGTAAAGAATTTAAATATGATGGACCATGGTAGAATATGCAAGAAACAATGTCCGACATATTTTTTACTGTTCGAATCAGAATATCGATACCCGTGCATCGGAAACTCGTCCATGACCGGTAACTCAGCCAGCCTCGTTGTAACTCAATGGGACGTATATTCCTATCTGAACCGCGACATGTTATTAAGCTAGTAGGATTTCGTGTACATCAGCTTTTTCCGTTTTTTTAATCTAAATTCTGACCTGAAATAAGTTTGCTCTATTTTTCAGTAATTTCTCCATTTTACTTTTTGTTTTCGGTACTCTTCAGGGATATCGTTATTATTTGCTTTTATATGAAGATGACATGTATAATATCATAGAATAGTGTTTATGTAAAGAACTGTTTGATCATTTGCATCCTATACGCTGAAAAGTTTTATTTTGAAAGGAGATTACATCCCTCACGCCCTCTAGCACCGGCTTGAGCGGTACTCAATTTTCAACACTAAAAGTGCTAGATTCAATGGTCCCGAAGAACCAGACAATTATAACAACACTGAAGTGAAGTACTGGGCAAATTTTACGGATGCTACACAAATCATACATTTTAAAAGGATATATGCTTATTTAATGATTACTTTTGTTTTTCAAATTTCATTTAATTTTCATAAAATATTTGTTCAGTATACTTTTTGCCACCAAATAATTCATGATATGAACATTGGCAATATTATGGCAGTTTTGAAAAAGTTTATATTTTTTCTGGAAACAGTAAGTTAATAATTATCTACTACACAAACGTTTCTATCTAGAGAGAAAAGTTTGTACAGTAGATAATTATGAAAAAGAATATAATTATCCTATACGTATAACGTTCTTGGATTTTACTGACGCGTTACAATTTTAGGGCACATGCTTAGTCACCTTTTAGCTTGCAATAATGGATACAGATAGTCAGCCACAATTTATTTCGCTAGATGAAAACTGAAAAATAAGTTCTTCAATTTAAAACTTTCCTTAAAAATAAACACGAAAGGTTATATGCGAGTCAAGTGCTTTCTTTCAAGTATTGCATGTATTGTTACTATTTGGGTGCACGTAACATGTCAAATATAGTATGCAAACTTAGACAGACATATATTTAGACAAACATTCAAATGAGGATAGTGTAAAAAATCTCGAAAGGGGATGATTCCCCGGAAGGAATGAAAACAACAATTATATTAAATGGAAATTGCAATCATGGCTTGATTTAGTCTATTCATGAAAGATGTAAAAGTGCAACATAGCCCATGCTCCCTAGCACCGGCTTAAGCGGTGTTTAATTTTTAAACAGGAGGAAAAGGCATCAATGTAAAAAACAATATCTTTATTTTAACAAAGTTATCATAAACGTATTTAGGCTGTAATGAGGCAGCTGTCATATGTTTAAAAGTTTAAACAGTCACATACTATCGAACTCATTTAAAACAGTGAGATTAGTTCAGCTGCTCTTAATGTTGTACTGTACCTATTCCTGCAAAATATGCACAAATTAATTGCCAATAAAGCATGTGTTACAAAACTTATGGTTGATTGTTTCACATTTAAAGGCAGTTACAAAATTAGCATCAAATCTAAGATTTATGGATAAGATATAAAAAAAAAGAAGCAACAAAACAGTTGTGACTGAATTAAACTACTTCGGTAATTACTTTAAAGGTTTAATCTCTGTGTTGTTGTAAAAGCACATGCATCAAAATGTTATAATAGTGATCACATATTCCAGAAATTCAGATTTTTTATCTTCAAATATTTGCAGCATTTACAGGCATCAACGAACATTATTGAATCAAAACGACCAATATGTTATCGAAAAATAAACAGAATTTCGAAACACCTGCACAATTGCCTTAAATCTGAAAGGAATAAACAAACATGTCTAATTTGTATTTATAATCATTAAAGCAACAGCTGATTGTACTGAACTCGAAGATGTTACTTGACTTCGCAGCTTATTAACGATTTTGTAACATTATCTTATGTATATACAGGCGAGGAATATAAGATAAGTTTTGATACGTAATTACATCATTGGGATAATTGATTTACGAAATTAGATTCTTATATTACTAATTACCTTAAAGACGTTTGTTTGAATTAGACAATTTTTATATCCAATGTTGACAAACAGATATTTATTCAGCAGTATATACATACCTTGATGATTTAATCATTTGTTCCGCTATTTCACATTAAAGTGCACACACGCGTAGCCAACCTTGATACATAAATTACTTCCCCTCAAAGGCAAAAAAACAAGTTATAGAATAATAATAAATTGATAGGTAAACATTTAAGCTAAAATGTGCAAATGATTATGTAGTTTTAATCTTCATCAATTCCTAAACACTTGTAAAATGCAAAATATGCATGACAGCGATTGTTTTCTTCTTTCGAAGGGGCAGAAATGTGTTTAATGATTTGATAATAGATATAAAGCATATTAGATACTTATTACCGGAAATCGAAGCGTTTAATAGACAGTTTTTCATAAATTAATGACAATAAAGTAGCAAAATGAAGACAAAGTAAGCAAGTATTATGTAGAACGTTCAAGTAAAACTAATAAAAATCTACTATAGCCTAAAAAACAAAGAAGCAAAAAGAAAATGTATAGAACTTATGAGGTCCAGATATGAATATTAAATTATATTCAATGAAACATTGATTACAAACTCAGCCTAAGTAAAACGAAATTTGGCACGAGAATTCACTGGAGAGATAAATTGGCACGAGAAATATGACACGAAGAATCCAGTGATTTACGGGGCGGACCAGGAACCGGAATCGCAAAATCTCCGTGTCATACTCCGTCATCACAAAGAAAAAAATATTCTTAGTATCACTATTTACTGGCGGAAAACTAAAAGAAAAATTCCGGCTGTAATTTTATTTGGAGCAGAATTTATACTTAAACATTTCATCTTGGACAGAATTTTCAACTTTGAAATTTTCTTGGGAAGGAATATGGTCTTCACTATGGGCGGAATTCTATACTTAAACATTTTTCTTGAACAGAATTTCACATATAAGATGTCTAAATCATAATTGTTAACTCTTTTTTTTGCACTTGCAGACATTGAAATTTTACCAACTGTACTTATTATTTTTGTTGAAGCAATTGATACTTGACCAATAATTACAGGTGTATTTTTAGAATAAATATGGTTATTTTTTAGACATTAAAATATATGCCTAAACAATGTTTTTAAATATTGTGGCAAATGATATATTGTCAGACTAATTTAGCAAATCTTTTTTGTACTGAAAAACAACTGTAATAATCTTAGTGTAGAACTTGAAAACATTCACCTCCAAAATGCTTAAGTTTATAAAAAGCAACATTGAAATAAGAATGCTGTTTAAATTTGAGTATCAGGACAGCCACAGGACAAGATAGTGTGCTTGCCATTTTAAACTCTAAGAAATCATGATTTTGTTATAAAAAAATAAACAAAAACAGTGCATGAAATAATCTCATATATTATGCCCTTTTAATCTATATAGAATTGATCAGCCAATATGCCCAATAATTGCTTTCATTTAGGTAAATAAATACTACAATATATATCCACTGAGATTTTACACTACACAGATCAGAGCTCTGATAAAACTCAACTGACCAGCAGTTTCCCACCATCTTAAACTCTTTGCATGACTAATTTACTCCACTGGTCATTCCAACAGATCAGGCTGTTCCATTGAATTATTTTGGGGAGAGATAACATTATAAATTTCATATGCAGAATTTGTCTAGGACATTGCAATTTTTTTTTTGTTCAGAAATATGTAATGATTTTTAAATTCTATATATATCTATTTGTTACTTGAATTTTTGTTACATTCAATGAATGGAGGTTGAGATGATGAGTAAATTAGCCCTGTTTTACATAATGATTGACCTGTCCATGCAGTTATACAGTTGTGAATTTTGAATTCTAAGATATCTGGGTCAGCAAAAAGAGTGCAAATAACAGAGGATGTACTTGATATTTTAACAATTTTGGAGATATACTTTTGTTTAAGATCTCAAAGTGTTTTAGTATTGGTATGATAAATAAGTGTGAAAACATGGGACAAGGAGATGAACAACATAATCAGGTAATAAACCTTTAGTTACATAATCATTAATTTAATGCTGAAACAAGTTTTATATCAAACTACATGTATCAATGGTAGCAAACTAAAATTTGTAACAAGAGGTCAATGTTGTTTTTATATTTTCAACTTCATACATTTGTTTTTTTCTGATAATTGTTTTAAATCTTTATTACATGTTTAATGACTGTAAAATATAAATTATTCAATGATTCTATATAATGATTGTGTGTATTGTATAAATTAATAGCATGTAGTAGATTCTTTTTCATTTCCTGGAAATTAAACAAATTAAGTCAATTTGATTAAATAGGAATAAATGGTACAAATTCAGAAGTTTTGTACAGCTGAACAGGGTCATCATAATCATTTATTATTTTACATGTATGTGTTGTGTTTCCAATGGAACAATCTAAAATTACATTTTACACTCATATTTTCAGACTGGGAGTTAAGTGCTGACTGTGAGATGCAAGGTGTTTCAATAAAGATGTGCAGTATTAATCCTGAAAAGGTATATTTTTAAATCTCAATACTTTACTATTCAACGTCTTTCCTTGAAAAAATACATAACCAGTAATAAATAGTGTCACAAATAAAGCAGTTAATTAATTAATTCTTATACAGAGCAATTCTTAAACACTTGTGCACTGAAATAAGATACTGCGTAAGCTTTAGTATTTTTGAATATTCATAAGCACTGTTAATATTTAATACTGTTGAAACATAAAATATGATATTATCAAAAAATATGAAATATAACTGCATATAATTATGCAATCAAACATAATTCATTACTACATTTTTGTTTAATTAATTATTAATTTTATTATTAAAGGTGAGCACAACCACAAGAAGTTCTTGGAAACACAGGCAGTGGACTTAAAACAGACATCAATTAAAGAAATAGTAATTTAAATAATCAGAAACATTTGAAACAAATTTATGATTGAAACACTCTCAGCAAAAAAAATGCAAAAAAACAAAGTGTTGGATTCTAAGAAAACCAGTACCTACCAAAACTTGCATGTAGAAAAAAACTGTTTGTGTTATAGTGAATGTAAGGTATTCTATTCTGTATTTGGACTAAAGGATATGTATTAAATTTTGTGAAAGAAAATTTAATGTGATACATTATTGATAATTTTATCCCAAAAAAATGTGATCATGTTAAACTCTGATACATTATTGATAATTTTATCCCAAAAAAATGTGATCATGTTAAACTCATAAAAATTCCGCCCCATGAATTCTGTCCCAGAATTCCGCCCAGAATTTTGTTTGACAATTCTGTTCCAAAATTCCGTTCCGAAATTCCGCCCCGAGATTCCGCTTCAAAATTCCGCCCCAAGATTCCGCTTCAAAATTCCGCCCCAAGATTCCGCTTCAAAATTCCGCCCCAACTCATTTGCATATTTCGTCCCAATTCCGCCCGGAATCCGTCCCGTTTCCGCCTGGAATCCGGCCGGAATCCGTGCCAAAAGCAAATGGTTTAACACTTGTATATTTGGGGGAGAATTTAAATTTCTGGGCGGAATCTGCCATTGAATTCCGCCTCATTTCCGTGCAGACAATTTCGTACAGGAGGACATCAACCATTAAATCTTCATGAGAATATAAGCATTTAAAGGGCTTAATTGTTAAAAGACAAATAATAGGTAAACGTAATACACTGCGAAAAAGACATGGATATACGGAAGTGTACGGAATTCCGTATATCATTAATATACGTGTAAGAATACGGGAAACTTGAAATACGGAGATGTACGGGACCGTATATTATATCAGTCCGTACATGACTAGTATACGAACTCCGTACACTCGTAATATACGGGAACTTTAATGTACGAAGTCCGTATTTTACTAATATACGGAATTTTTATAACAAGTCCGTATATTACTAAAATACGAAATTCCGTATTCGTGCAAATACGGATTCGGTATATAGAAATAGCGAATGAAAATTTACTTCTTTATAGCCTATTTCCTGTAAGAGTAAAGAAATAGTCTGATCATATATTTGTCAGACATTTGACAATTAACACAATGCAAAATTTCCTGGAGTTATTAACGCGTCAATTGCGTACAAATAATATCGTCAGTGCACAGAACGTGTAAGACATCCACCTGTAACATGCAGACGCGGTATTCTAGCTCAATACCGCTTGGTTTGCTTTTTAGCATACACCCGCAGATAAATAGCGAATACTTTTACAATTGCGATTGACGATTAGATAGTACTGTTTTGCATTTTGCATCTATGGTGAATCATGTTATTTTGCAATTTCCTTTTCATTATCATATATATATTTTATAATGATAAGCCAAACATGATAAATTAATTAAGTTGAAATTGTGATGTTCAAGACATGAATTAATTATAAATAAAATCGTGAATATGTGAAGTTGAAATCGTGAAATTAAAATAATTGTGAAATCACGAAGATGAAATCGGGATTGTCCACACAGCAATTAAATTTTACGTTGATATATGTCCTATAAAAAATAGGCTATACATAATATAATACATGTACTTGCATATGTAAAAAAAACAATGATATATCATTCATTCATTCATTCATTCATTCATTCATTCATTCATTCATTCATTCATTCATTCATTCATTCATTCAATCAACCAATCATTCATTCATTCATTTATTCATACATTCTTTCATTCATTACTCATTTATTCATATATTTCTTATTTATTATTTATTTATTTATTTATTCATTTATTTATTTATTTATTTAATCAACCAATCATTCATTCATTTATTCATACATTCATTCATTCATTACTCATTTATTCATATATTTCTTATTTATTTATTTATTTTATTTATTTATTTATTTATTTATTTATTTATTTATTTATTTATTTATTTATTTATTTATTTATTTATTTATTTATTTATTTATTTATTTATTTAATCTTTTATTTCAGGAAACAAAGATTTGCGTTTCTGTACACAAGTTTTGAATAGAAATCTTATGAAGTTCCGAATTCCCCAATTTTGATTCTTTTCGCGCGGTCTCATTTATGACATAATATTGTGTAATAGCCACGTGCTGTATTGCCATAATCGAAGACAATACTGATTAAGCCGGATATTGATCATAAACGCAGCAGGGTATATCGGTTTTCTCCGATTAGGTAAGTTAGCGCAATTGGTGTTGAATGTCTTATCTGTATTTTTTTACTGTCAATTTCTAATATAATTCATGTACGAAATAAGGGAATTAAATTGTGATCTCATAACCGAGTCTCTATGTGATAGTGTTCCAGATATTATAAAGACTCTAACCCGACATATTAAAATGAAACAGACATAGCTGCTATATTCTTTCCAATGTTTTTGCAGCGTCGTGTTGTTGTTATCCTTTAATTTGGCATGTATTGTTGATAGATGATGTCAAATTATTCGAAATAGCATATCTTGAAAAATATCATCATCATCTCCCGAGTTTCTTCGTCTCCCATCAGCCGTGTTTCTGCATAATTCGGTGACTTGAACATTGTTCAGGACAGGGGAACATGACCGTGCTATGTAAATTAACATTTGTTACCTTGTTAAAATAAAATAATGTATCTAGGAAACAGTTTTTGTAAAAGTAAATTTCTGTTAAAAAAATAAAAATTGTCAAAATAAAAATTGTCGTAGTTTGATTAAAAACTCAAGTTAAGAACATACTAAATTATATATTGATAGTAAAATCACTTTTTAAATTGGACTTTTGAATTTTTACCGATACTCCAAATATTCTTATACTAATAAAGGTTTATTTTAATTATGAAATCTGCAGATAATGTGAAAGGATCTTTATACTTTATTTATGTGTATAAGTAAGTAAGTAATTTATTTATTTTAATGGGGATACGGACTAAAGCCCTCCCCCCGGACAAAAGCCCCCCCCCTCCATCTAAAAATGACAAGGTGGACAAAAGCCCCCCCCCATGAAATTTACACGTAGGACAAAAGCCCCCCCCCCCCATCAAAAATACAGGTAGGACAAAAGCCCCCCCCCCTCCAGTCCATCTCCGTCTACTGAGAATCTCGTCAGTTTAAATCTGGAACTTGATGTATTTTAACAAATAAATGCAATTGTTTTAAAAGATAATTTACATTAAGATTTAAATTTAAAGGTACAAAAGTTCTAATTTGATTCATTGTGAAATTCGTACTTATAATTCATTGATGATATTAATGTTTTTATATTTACTTTATTATATATTGTGCAGTACAAATGTAAATGAATATTTTCAGAGAATCGCTTTTCAAAGCTTATCAAGGAAATAAAAGTGAAAAGCGAATACTTGTCTAGATTTATTTGAAGTAGTACCCAAGTTCGTGTAAAAATAGATAGTAATCAGTCTGGTCTATAAACCTTAGGGAGGCTTTTGTTTGATGGACTGGGGTGGGGGGCCTTTGTCCTATATGTTAATTTAATGTGGGTCTTTTGTTTTACCCGCTTATTGTTGTTGTCACAAAAATTTGTGTAATTTATAAATATTTCTTAGCGCTTCTAAAACGTCTTTTATTATTATTATTATCATCATCATCATCATCATCATCATCATCATCATATTATTATTATTATTATTATTATTATTATTATTATTATTATTATTATTATTATTATTATTATTATTATTATCACTATTATCATCATCATCATCATCATCATCATCATCATCATAAGTATTATTATTATTATAAAAAATAAATAAATAACCGATTGAGCATTAGAATCAAAGTTTTGCCTATGAAAAAGTATCAATGGTTATGTTATACATGTATGCAAAGTTATCGTTTATGGATACATGATATTTTCAATTTAATATTGAATTATTCTGGATCGAATAAAGGTCTTAGTATGCTGGTTTCTTTCGCATTATCACCGACCTTAGTATAAATCCGTGGCATTATTAATGCAAAATGCTTTATAACACAAACGGTATCTAGGCATATCACGCGTTTTCAAAAGAGCCAATGAGTTTAAAGCGTGGGTTTTGTATCACGTGAATCCTATCAACCAATCAGACATAGCGCGGGCGAAATGAAAAAACGGGATTGGATATGGATAGTAAATAAAATTCAAAATATTGCAAACAAGGTAGGTTAAAAGTTATTTTTTATCGTTGCAATATCAATATGCGATCAATAGAATAGTTGCATTTTGTGAACAACAGCTTATTTCAGGGTTAAACTGATTTGTTTTTAGAAAACTTTAACACTGTTTAATCTGTTTCGCTATCCAATATGGCCGCCGGATTAGATAATTAAAGCAGGGATATATCCCTAAATTTAGACTGGGAGGTTACGGGTTTGATTTTGATTTCTAAACTGTATCTTGTTTAATTAATAATTTGTATGAAAAAATGCAAAAACAAAAAATATGAAAAGGGCATTTGTTAAATGCGTTAATCATAACTTCCCTTCAGGGTAAAAAAAGACACCGAGTTAAAAATTACGACATTTAAACATCGAATATGTCAAGGTATTACAGCCCCTGGACATGGTAGTACAAAGGGATTAATCAGTGTGTGTGACACGACCTATGTATGCTTGGTTGGTCAACTGATTGGACTTCATAATCTTGAGCGATCTTAATTATCACTTAACAGCAGGGGTGCGAATCAATGTGCAGGAAAGATCATATCGAAAAGAGACACTCAAATTCTATTTATTTTAATTTAATTTATAAAATTGATAGCCAAAAATAGGTTATGTTTTATCTATTCAGATTAACATATTTTAAAGAAAATTGCTTAGTACTTCTAAAAAATAGGTTTATAAATTTTAAGATAAAATTGTTTCTCAGTCTTGATAATTTAACGAGCAGAATACTTGTTTTATATTCGCAGTTTTTATTTTTATACAAATCCACATTATTTGATGCAAAAATAAGTCAATTTCAAGACTCCGCTCTTTTCAATTTTATTCACTTTTTTAAGTTTCTGTACACATGTTGTTATATATTTCTTATTTATATTAACCTATTCTTAAATGAATACAAATCTTAAACAAAAATAGGAAACAAACATTTCTTTTTTATTTAAATCATAATACATTTAGATGAATAAATAAATAAATAAAATGAAAATAATTGTCAGAATTTTTTATTTACATTAATACAAAGAATGTGTATGATTGCATGTAATATGGTCGACAGGTGTTAAGTTTAACAGTTAACTGTTAATTCACTTACCCTTGGTGTCAAAACATATGAGCCGCGTCACGACAAAACCAACATAATGGGTTTTGCGACCAGCATGGATCCAGACCAGCCTGCGCATCCGCGCAGTCAGGATCCATGCTGTTCGCTATCGGTTTCTCTACTTGTTATATAGTTTGTAAGCGAACAGCATAGATCCTGATCAGACTACGCGGATGCACAGGCTGGTCTGGATCCATGCTGGTCGCAAACCCATTATGTTGGTTTTGTCGTGACGCGGCTCATATGTTTATTTTTACATTGATACGAAGCTTAGATCAGGAGCCTGTTGTCGGTGTTAGAATTTTAAAACTCGTGAATATAAAATATCGCAACGAACTAGAAGTTTTAAAACGGTTTTGTTTG